CCTTCTCCTTTTTTTTTTTTAACTCTTATTGCTCGGGATATCCGCGGGACCGGGCTTCCCCAGTCACGCCGCAGCCACCGCACCGTGCTGACCCGCTCCCCGTGGCCCTCGCACCCCCGGACACACACACACAACCCCCTGCCCCATTTTTTTGGTGGAAAAAAGGCTTTCTGGGGGGATAAAGTGTGGGGAGGGCATCTCCGGGCTTTGCCGACAGCACCTCCCGAGCCAGAGACTGCAGGTAACGGGGAGGTTTGGTCTTTGGATGCGGAGAGGGAGCGGAAAATGGCTCTTTTTTTATTATTATTCATCCCCTTCCTTTCCCCCTCCATCCTTCCCTTCCTCTCTCCTCCCGTCCCCTCCGGCTGCCCTCCCCCGGGTGCCCACACACCCCCCAAGCTTAAACTCAGTGCCCGGATGGTCTCCATCCCTGGGGAGGGGGGAAATAATAAAAAAAACCCCAAAAACCCCACCAAAACCCCAGCCCCGTTGTCTTTCTGCAGGCGTTTCATTCAAGCGGGTGGGTTTCATTTCTGGACGGGTCAGGAGCGGAGGTGTCTGCGAGGGCTTGCGGTATTGACCCCTTTATTTTTATTTTTTTAGCAGGATGGCAAACTACCGGGGAATAAATGAAGCGGGCTGAGATGCTGGTGGAGGCTTAAAAATAAAAAAAAACCCAACACCCAGCAAAAAAAAAAAAAGGGAAAAAATTGCAGGAGGGATCTGCGGTCCATGCTCGAAATCGCCCTTTTATTCCTGGCATCAGTAAGTCGGTGACAACCTTCTGCAAATCCGCCTTTTCCCAACCTACCTCCTCTGTCCTCTGTAGCTCTGCTGCTGGGGAAAAAAAAAAATATAAACCAACCCACGCACTGGGATCCTAATATGCCTGCTGCTCACAGAGGAGGATGAGGAAGGGGTCGGGGGAGTGCTGGGAGTTTGTTTTTAATGATTTTTGCAAAGGAGAGCACCAAACCTGCTTCTTACAGCTGAGAAAACTCATGTTTTCCCCTGAGCACAGGCTCTGAGCGCTGGAGATTTGCGTAGAGAAATAACTGGGTGATTTATCGTCTTTGAGGAGGAGTGATTGCTACGGGGTTTTTTTGGGGGTGGTGGTCCTGGAAAATTTGGAAGAGGAGTCTCTGGGAAGGTGAAGGATCCTGTGGATCAGGATTTGGTGCAGTAGGAATTAGCTGTGAGATAAAATCTGAGTGGAAATTAATTTTAGGATAAAGATCTCTCAGCAGAGTGTTGTCTGCAGGTTACAGAAACGTGTTCTTCATGGGCTGGGTTTTATCTCTTTTTTCATTCTTTTAAAGGAATCGTGCTGTCTGCGTTTCTGTTTTCCCCTTCTGCTTCCTCCTCCACATTAACTGTTGGAAAACAAAAAAAAATTGTTCAGCCAGATTTGATAGAGGCAGAGGGTATAAAGTTCCTGCAGGATTTGGGAAAATACATGGCGGGGTAAAGGAAGGAGGTTTTTATTAGCTGCCTGTCCCCACACTTTACCCGTTTTGTGATTCAGCTTAGCTTTTCTATTAGTTTATTAGAGAATAATAACCTATTAGATGATTAGAGAATCCACAGGTTAATAAAATAGGGGGTTTTGCATGAAGAATCCAACCGATGGATGCAAATCCATAGGACAGCGGCTGAGCTCTGCTTATGGGGGTTACCTCCTCCTCGCAGGGGGTCTGGTGTCACCAGCCATGGAGCCGTACGTGTTGCTGGACCCGCGACAGAGAGCACTGTATCGCGACGTGATGCAGGAGAGCTACGAGACGCTGATGGCGCTGGGTGAGGAGCCTACCCCTCCCGCAGTGGAAAATTTGGGATGGGCGGAAGATCTGGCTTGCTGGATCCTCACGTCTTCATGCGAGGGGTGCTGGGGTCGGGGGGCTGCTGGGGAAGGTAGAACCCCTCTGATCCGTGTTGCTCAACCCTCCTCTTTTCCAGAATTCCCCGTTTCCAAGCCCGATCTGCTGTCCCGCCTGGACCACAGGGATGAACCTACAGCCCTGGATCTCCACGTGCCCCGGGAAACCCCGGCTGCAGGTGAGCCTCCAACCACGGCAGGTAAAAAGCTCCTGCAGGTGTGGAGGGTTTTCCCCACCTGCAGACCTCTCCCCAAAACCTCTCCCCACCGTAACGGCTGCAGCTGTACCCCAGGCCATGGGGTTTGGCCATGGCATGGAAGAGAGATGCTGGGGAAGTGAGGCTGTAATGCCAGAGGGATGTCCTGGCCAAAATGGAAATGCTGGACCCCCCTTCCTAGACGGCCACATTTCTGGAGTGGTCCACAGAGGTGCAGTGGAGGTGGTGGATGAATTATCATGTCCATGTTACTGGCAGAGAGAATTGATGGGGATCGTAGACGCCTCTGCTGTAGGTGCTTACCCGGAAGAGTGTGTGAAATAAAAAAGGAGGAGGAATTCCTCCTTGCCCTCCTTTTCCTACCACTTTTCCATCTTCCCAGCCCTGAGAGAGATGATGTTTCCTGCCTGGGTTGTGTCTGTCTCTCTTTCTGCCCCACAGAGGATGGAGCAGGAGCAGAACAGGACCCCCCCCGAGAAGAAGCCGCTGAGAAAGAGCCCGAAGTGGTGAAAGCTGCGGGTGAGGAGCATCCTCCGAGCCCCACCGAGGCCAGGGCGAAGGCAGGCGGGAGCGGGGGGCCAGGGGAGATGGCCACGCGCCCGGGCGAGAGCCAACCCAGCAACACATGCGGCCAGTGCGGCAAGAGCTTCAGCCACAAGTCAGCCCTGGTGAAGCACCAGAAGATCCACACCGGCGACCGCCCACACGAGTGCCCCGACTGCGGCAAGTGCTTCATCCAACGCTCTGACCTCACCATCCATCAGACCGCAAGCTGCACCTGGAGAGCGCGGCGTTCCGGTGCGCCGACTGCGGGAAAAGCCTGGCTTCCAACGCCGCCCTGGTCACCCACCGGCGCATCCACACCGGCGAGCGGCCCTACGCCTGCCCCGACTGCGGGCGCCGCTTCAGCGTCAGCTCCTCCTTGCTCACCCACCAGCGTACCCACGCGCCCAGCGGGGAGAAACCCAACCGTTGCCCCCAGTGCGGCCGCAGCTTTGCCGATCCAGGGGCCCTCGACCGGCACCAGAAGAGCCACCTGGGTGGGAAACCCTACGAGTGTGGGGTGT